AGGCTCTTATACAGGATGAAACTGCTGACTGTTCTAACAAATTTCATCAGTATTATTGAAAACTGCTCAGTAATAAAAGCATCTGAGTTCTTACTCAAAAAACAACAAATAACTAAATATCTTTCCAGAAGACAAGGAGCTGGAACCTAAATTTATTTATTTACCACAATAAGAAGCAATTTTCATAGCCCTGGATTGTGCCTATCGAGCAAAATCTTTTTCCTAAAACTTAAGCTGCATTTTTTTCTTCATATAATCTTAAGATTATATGGGAGGAATTTTTATTTTCCACCATTAAAACTGCATGCACATAAATTTGTTTTTGTCAGATCATTGTATTAGTTAATATAACTTGAAGTGAGTGTAATTAGTATACAGTTAAAAAAACCTGCATCTACTGACCATTGCACATTCTTACTCTTTTAACAGAGTACCATTAATACTCTTTATCTAGAAATAAAAATGGAAATAGCATTGAAAGCTTTATAAATCTAAACCTCCCTTTGCCCTATTAAAGAAAATAGTCTGTTGGCCTTTCTTTTGGCAATCTCAAATTTTATTCTTAGCAGTAAATGTAGTTAAGTAGGGCTATATAGTGCTATCAGTCATGTGCTGATTTTGGAAGAAGAAAACACTGAGCTCTAGTTTCACTGCTTGTATGAATTAAAAGATTCTTACAATAAACTGCTCTTTAATTTTTTACTTTTTCTTCCTTGTAGGAATCCCATAACTCAAGAAGAAAGCGTGAAGTTGCAGAGAAGCAGATTACAGACGGCCAGGCATTTTCCTTATTCTCAGAAAGAAAATACACAACCTTGGTAAGGATATTGTTGTATTCTTGTCAGATACCTCCCTCAGCACTCGAAAGAGGGCTTTTCTGAGTTTGGCAGAGTGAAAGAAATTCTCCCTTTCCCTTCTTTTTATCTTAATCCGAATATCGATGCTTTTAAAATTCAAACATTTAGATCATCTACTGTGAGGAAGAACTAGGAAAGAATATCTGCATAGTTACTTACCTTAAAATAAGCAAGTAATAACATCTTCATTGTATTTTCCCATTGCTATCAGTACAAACAGATAGTGGTTCTTGCATGTAGGTATGATGCATATAATCCAATCTTTAATCTTGGGGTGAGGTTTAAACAATCTGTGAAGATGTGATCCTACTCACATGCAGAAATCTGTATTTGCAGAGCTGCAATGTGAATGCACACTGTGTGGATATAAAGTGTCCCCTGAAGGGTTTTGACAGCAAGGCATCTCTTGTGCTGCGTTCCAGGCTGTGGAACAGCACCTTCTTAGAGGTAAGTCCTCTCACCTGCCCTTCTTGAAACGTCAAGAGTTCTTTCCTGCTCTGTGTCTAATACTTGTGTTTTATTTTGGAACAGGAATACTCAAAAATGAATTACCTTGACATTCTGGTTAGGGCTTCTATCAGTGTTCCTGCTGCAGCTAAGAATGTTAAACTCACAAATGAAGTTGCTCAGGTAGGTTCAGTGTTAAATGCTAACCACATGTTATAGTTGTGGTTGTTCTACCTTATCTCCAAAGACCAAGAATGAAACAAATTTAAAACAAAACTAGCTAAAAGTTTAACTTTCTAACAGAGTTTTGAATTATTGTTAATTTTTACCTTTTAATGGGGTTGAAAAAATTAATTACCATATTGAAATGATACCAGTGGGAACTTTTTCTTGAAAAGCATTTTGTAGAAGACATCTTTATATAGTCTTACCTCTCCTCTAACAATTGCAGCTTTCTAATTAAACATGTACCTTCTAAATACCCCTTCCACCTGCACATTTTCTGTCCTGTAGGTGCGTGTTACTGTATTCCCTGCAAAACCAGTAGCCCTTTACACAGGAGTTCCGTGGTGGATCATTGCAGTGGCTATCCTTGCTGGAATACTCATGCTTGCACTGTTGGTATTCTTACTATGGAAGGTGAGCTTTTACTAATCTGGTTATTTTTTATTTTCTGGTCTCTAACTGACAAGATAGCAAACTAATTAAGTATTTGGGACTCAAAACTGCACAAATCACACATTATCAGTTTCTCAGTTCTGCAGCACTTGGAATTAAAATGGTTGTATGGGCAGACTTGTTACATAATTTTTCTATTTTCACATCCTCAAAAGGAAGTATTTTGAGCTCCAGATGAAACTTGAGACAAATGTTCAGAGGCCATAGTTTGATACAGGTGGATAGAGCCATTGGGAGCCTCTCCAGTTGGATGTAAAACTTCATGTGAGCTATTTAGAAATGTTTTAGTTCTCATAACATCAGAAATACCATTAAACTGATAGTAGATGAAAATAACCAAAAGCACAGGATTAATACATAGCCATGTGTGCTAGTGAATTTATTATTGCTTTTTTATATTAGAAACCTTAAAGAAATAAAGAGGTATAACAAATGGTTAACTATTTGCAAAAGAAAAAATCAAATGTCTTTTTTCTAATTAGCTTTGTAAAAATGCCAATTATTTGTGGTCCCAAGTATAACAGAGCAATCTTTTCATTCTTAGTTTTTATAGGTTAGTAGTATTTGCTGTTATTGGATAGCAGATGGTTATTTAAGGACGAGGATGTGAAGAATATCCTATCTGTCACTTTTTTCTCCCAGTGAAACTGCAGCAGTTAGCTTTGAGGAGCTATTTGCTGCAAGTTACTTCCCTTGGATAGTTCTGATTTCCTTATTTTCTAAAAAATGCCCAGCTGCTTCTGTAAATACTCCTGATGAATGAATACTGGGTGGGCTGTTAGGTTCTAACTACTAGTGTTTTACTGTGCATGAAAATACAAACATTTTTCACATGCACACACAGTGAAAAATGCTGTTTTGATGGCACAGACTGTGCTGTTTTATGAAAGACAAACATTGTACTGGAAAGACAGATACATCATTGGTTTAAGACAAAAGCTTTTATCAAAGGGGCCAAAGCAGTAACTGGTTTTGTTCTACACCCTGTGGTTTTGTCTGTCCCATGCACTAGTCCACAAACAGGTTTCTGTATGGGGTTCTTTCTGCTCTTCACAGCTACCTTCACTTGCTATGGACATACTTCATTGTAGCTTTTCTTAAAAAAAACCCGAACAGATTGTCTACAAATTTATCAAAATGCCTCTGATATAATATTCTTAGGTTACTCTGTTAATAAATCAGATTATTTTATTCTTTTATTGTATAGATCAAGTAAGCCCAAGAAATTCTCAGATCTAGAAACAGCTGAGTTCTTGTGATGACTTTTTAATTTTTGTTTCTTTGGCCTGTGAAGGGATAATGGGAAGACAGTTGACAGACTTAAGTCAGTTTTAATAGGTTTGACTTATTCCAGTCCACAAAAAATGACTAAATACCTTGCTTCCTTGTAGTGTGGTTTCTTCAAGAGAAATAAGAAAGATCATTACGATGCCACATATCACAAGGCTGAGATCCATGCTCAGCCATCTGATAAAGAGAGACTTACTTCTGATGCATAGTACTGATCTACTTCTGTAATTGGTAACTGATGATATTTTTTAATTTCTAGCTGTGGCACATGCTATGGTTGCAGTGGCTAACTGTGAAGCTTCTTCTGCATAAGTTTATTAACTTTTGGATTTCAAGCTATCATACTTGCTTGCTCCTTCTGTTGATAGATTTTCAGCTTTTGGTGCATGTGAACACACAGAGGTTTACCCTGGTCTAAAATGCTTTTTTTCTTTTTTAAAAAACATGGTGATCTGTTGCAATGGGCTTCAGTTTTTTTTTTTTTTTTTAATTTATGCTTTACCATTACAAGTAAGTCTTTAAGCTTGCAAGATGGGAATCAACACTGTAGAGTTAAGATGCAAAGATAAGACTGCAGCAACAATACATAAATTTGCTTTACTAACCTTTAGTGCATGCTGTACATGTTGCTTACGTTTGAGAAGGGTTTTCGTAATGAGAATTTATTTCTGTGGAAACATCTGTTTTACTTGAGTTCTAAGGTACTTCTCTAAGAACACACTTTGCTGAAGTTACAAGATGCATGATGATGATTTGTACTTCCAGCAACCTTTATTCCACTTATGTGCATGTACATTGTATCCATAAGTGTGCTTGGAATAGGGGAGGGGGTAGGAATTCTTAATGAATTATTTCAAAACAGTGTTTAATGAAACTGTGAGTTGGCTAAAGATTTGGTCTCTGCTCACTGTAATTTTTTTAAAATTCAGTTCTATCTAAGTTCTAATATTAAGAAACTCCCAAATCATTGACCAAACAGAACCAAAAAATCCAGCACCTTTAAGACTATGAAGAAAAGTTTGCTCGGTGGTTCTTACCCTCAGTAGTATCTAATGTCAGCTGGATGACACAATGTCTCTTAACCTGAATCTTGATCCATAAGGATGATCAGTGATCCATAAGGATGTAAAGCTGAGCGTGTACCAAATCATTATCTTTGTATATCGTGGCCATAGCTCCCTTTGGTTTTGGAAATTAATTTTAGTCCATGCCTTGATATTCACAATCACTTCTTACAGCGGCTTTGAATAAAAAGCTGCAGAGTGCAAAGAAGGTGGTACAGGTCTCATCCAGTGCGACTTCCCATAGCAAGCAAGACTCATGTTTCTAATACAGCATATGTGTAGTTAGTTTAGGTGACTGAAGTGGAAATGGTGCTTTGAAAACCAAGGCCCTTAGGGTAACTTTTTTTTGAATGTTCTGGAAATCTTTCTGTAGGTTCTTAAGGGTAAATCATGTCATCATACAGGAAGACACTGAAGTACATACCTACCTTTGATTCAGGAGAAACAGCTTTCCTGTGTGTAGCAGTAAATGTCCTCATTAGATGAATGAACAGCTTTGTACTTGAGGGAATCTTTTTAAGGTATTTGATTACCATGGATAGTCAGAGCATGCCCTTTGTCTTTAACTGCTGCCGAAGAGCTAACGCAGACCTCCTGGCTCACATTTTTACAGCTAAATATGCTACATTTTTGGCCTACATACTTTTGTTCTCAATTTTCTTACCTGCCTATTTGTGTGAAGGAAGAATTTACTGCTTCTATAATTGTAGTACTTTGGCAGCAACTCACAGCTAAACTGTTCCTTTCCTCCCGTGTGCAGTGCGGGTTCTTCCGGCGTTCCAGGTACGAAGACAGTGTCCCCCGCTATCACGCTGTGAGAATTCGAAAAGAGGAGCGACAGATCAAAGATGGGAAAAGCCAAGACCTTGAGACGAAACAGTGGTTCACCAAATGGAACGAAAATGAAAGTTATTCTTAGGCAAAAATGTTGTTTATCCACAAAGTTCAGATAGAGGTTAAGGTTTTCATTCATGGAATACTGATGGAGTTAGACCTGTGAACACTATATGCATTCACCATTTGATTGTAGATATTACTACTTATATTGAAGCTTTTATTTGCACAGTTAAAATGGCTTCAACAGACTTCATTTGCCTTACTAATTTCCACACTGCCTCTTCATCCCCCTTAAATCTAACCCACACTTCAGATAATATTTTGCTGATGTGGGGTCTTTTCTGCAAAATAAGCAAAACCACTACAGCACACCTGATCCTCCTGTGATCCTGACTCTCTTCCTAGTTATTTAAGGCATGCATGATTAAGGTCAAGATGAGTTCTCCTTTGTTCCCTCAATGCACAGTGCTTTATAAACACAGAGTGGCCTTATCACACTTTGTTCAAGTATAACTGAAGACCTGCAAGTCTGCTTTAGTCATAACCTTTGCCTGCTGCAGTAGTTAGGGCTTAACAAAAAGCATCATCTTAAATTACACATGCAATGGGTCATGTTGCTTGATTTTGGGTTCTTTTTAAGATCAGATTGTGTGATTCTTGCTCACAACAAATATACACAGGTTTTGGTTTTTTTTTAAGAGAGGCTTGAATATTAGATGTACTTTGTGTATATATATATATTTTAGTCATTTTCGTATTTATTTTTATTATAAATCATTGTCTTTGACTAACTGGTAGGCTGAAGACTACTGAATTTTTAAATCCACTGTTCTTGTTTTTGTGTTTCTTTTCTTCTTGTTTGTGTTTTTGTGTTTGAACTTCAAATTATGAGACCTGAGGCTTTCACTGCATTTTAATAAATCACTGAAGGTGCCAATGCTTTCTAAAATGTAAATATTTATGCAAATGATGTGTATGGGTGCTTTCTTTTTCCTGATGCTTGTAACATCAGGTCCTGTAACATGATTTGTATATTACTGTGGACTGTTTAACAATTTGGACACCAAAGTGAAGTAATGTTTTAGATACCATTTTATCCTCACTGTAAGAAAGTGACAAGTCCTTTGGAAACCTCTTTCCAGCTTCCTAAGGACTTCCTGGTTGGCAGAAGGCCTTGACTGCTGCAACTGTTGTATAGCACTTGGAGGCTGTAGATGCCTTACTTACCTTAACTGTCAGGATCTGAGCTGATCCACGTTGAGACTACTGAATCATCTTGAATACCTGAATGTTGATAAAAGTAGAACCATGTTATTAGTAATCTGGTTATTGTAACATAACTGAGAAAATGATTTAAAGAGTTTACTTTTTTACCCATATTCTAAAAGCCTTGGTACTATTTAAGAACAAAGATTTAGTTCACAGTTGTGTATTCCATGTGGAACAAAATTCTGCTCAAAAAGTATGCATGTTAATTGCTTATACTATGAACTATGCAAAAACCTCTTGGTACTTTTTCCCCTCATAGGGTAAAAACCTGCTAGGAGGGCAGTTGTCAAATGTCTTATTTTTACTGCTAACTTTGAATGTACCTTCTTGGAAGGTGTGGTCACCTAAAAAGTTACCTTTAGGGTTAACTAAGATGAGTCTATTAAACTAGATAATCTCAGTGTGTTATGACCCTGACTTTATGAATGCTTACATAATAATTATGTATTAATATCTTTAGATATTAATACATAATTAATTATGTATTAATATCTTCCAGAATCCTAGCTTATGTGCTTAAAGGCTCAGCAGCATCAGAAGCCAGGCTAATCAGGGGATAAGAAGCTTGAGAAATACACCCGAGTATAAAATCAGACTGTGGCCCTCATCTAAGAACATGAATGTCTTAGCAGTGTTAAAGTTCTTGAAAAAATAAGTCACATCACTGGTATATTTTTATCTCAAACTTTGTTATACCAGCTAAGAATGCTGCATCATTCCATGATTAGAAATTACCTGTGGATATTTGTATAGAAGTGTGAAATAAATTTTTTTAAATTAAAGATGGTCTTGGTAATAGTGATTTTATCATACTTAACTGAGGTAGCCACAGCTAAGTTCCCTAGAAGAAGAGGCTGGAAGTGGCAGGCTTTAACAGGTTCTCTCTCAGCATTGCCGTAGCTCTTGCTGCCCTGCTCCATGCAAGGAGCAGATAAGGAGCAGCAGGAGATAAGGCACAGTCTCAGGCTCACAGGCTCTCTGCTGCAGTGGTAGGACTGAGAGCCTCACTTGCCAGCTCCCACCGGGACATGGCTCCTCTCTCCATGCTTGACTCATGCTGCTCCAGCTGTCCCACTCATGCTTCCATGCAAGCAACCTCCTAAAAATCTTCTTAAATAGTGCCAGACGAGTATTTGAGTAAGTAGTGGAGATGGCTACATCCCCCAAAATTGGTCAAGGATTTTGCATACCTATTTGTATCATTTAGCAGTGGAAATTTGAAAAAACACAATTGCAGGGTAGTTTAAAGTCCACCAAAAAAGCCCTATGGAAAAGCCAAAATTATGCAGGGAAAAAATCCCACCAAATCCAACAGACACAATGTGGCTCCACCTCTAAGATGTTAGCCCTCACTGGATGCTTTTACTCAGTGTTGCTGAAAGGCCTTTTGATGCAACAAAGCCCGAAGAAAAAGGTTAGCTGGATATATGCTAGGCCACTCCTTGTTGTTGAGGCCAAGAAGCTTCCAGAACTACACCCAGAAAATGTTGCTAGACCCTTCAGTGCATCTCAAAGACAAGAACTCAATCTGCTCTTATTAAGCAATTACTCTACATGCTAGCCACAAACATTTCTCTACAAGAAGACAAAATATCAATTGTCAGAACAGTTAAGTAGCTGATCATAGTAAGTTTTGAGCAAATCTATTATATTGGGCTTTATATGTATGCTCATATATACCATACACATAATAGTACTAGATGTAGTCTATACAATATATACAGTGGTGCAGCACTCTAATGCTGTATGTGTACAAAATGCATGCATATGTGATATATAAAACTTAGTGTTCACTATAGATTATGTGTGTTCTATCTATACAAAAATATACACACTCTATATCGTCCAAGGTACAGAAATAGAGTGTTGGCAAACTGCAATGCTTTCCCATAGGTTTAACTGTTGCAGCACAGCAGAACCTTATAAGAGAATATACCTTTCAATTTAAGGGACCACCACAGCTCAGTTCCAGTAGCCACCTGTCCATAAGAGTTGTATGTGGAAAAAGGCAACAGGGTGCTCAGTTGGACACAAATAAAGAATCAGTACATGAAGTAAAATGAAACTTCTGAAAGGGGCACTGAACCATAAAGCAGCCTTGTTGCAATGCTGATGATCATGGCTGCAGTGTGTCTTCACTCCACAGACTGCACACAACCAGGGAGCTGCTCATGTTCAACAGCTGCAGTAGCTTCTCCCAGCACAAAGCCAGTGTGCCAGCAGTTGGTCTGCAGAGGCCAGGAGACCAAGCTGTGACAAACAACCAGGCAACTGCAGCCAGTGCTCTGAGCCAGCCTGTGGACACGCTTGGACGTGCCTCAGTGCCTCACCAGACAGCTTGGCTGTGTGGCACAGGAAGAGCACGAGTGTGTTTCCCTCTAGGGATTGTGGAACCGGTTGCTTCAGTTTTTTATTCCAGTCCTCAGATACCTTTCAACGTCTATCTTTCCAGGCCCCAGAGTCATAATTCATACTATATACCTTTTACAGGCTCATAAACCTTGCTGAGTCCTAACCTTGTAAAAAAAACCACCACAAAACTCCTTATCCCAAAAGATTGCTGCTGTAACGGGCCTTTAACCCCAGCCAAGGTGTGACATTGTCACTATAAAGGGGTTGGGGCCCGCAGTTTGCATTTTTCATATTGCAAGAAAGACCCCTTTCTTCCTTTTCTAGCTCTGCAAAACGTTTGTTTGCAAGCAGCACCTTTTCAGGGCCCTACCTGCCTCAAATATCCCAGAAAACACAGAGAACAGATTTTTGCAAGACGAGGTGTCCTTGCTGCTGCAGACCAAGATACTGGTACTTGGTCATCACTGATACACAATGCCAACTATGTATTCTCTCCCTCAATCCCAGTATCTTGGGGGGATAGGGAAGGAAGGGACAGAGGAGTCAAATACTTTTGCTAGGAACATATGAAATAATGCAACTGATAAGTTGATTAAAAGAAATGTTAGCAGGATACTGCTTGAAGTGGAGGGGTCCAACAGAATACCCCAGTATAGAGCTGAGAAGTGCATCACTGCCAGCCTGCTTACAAGGCACTCTGCCCAATTGCAGCTTAGCAAGGAGGAACAACATAAAAACAGCCATCCTGGACCTGATCACAGATCCACCCAGACCAGCAGTCCACCTCTGACAGCTGCTGAGAGTTGTCCGCAGTGTCCACAAAATCCTGTGCTGTTCCTGTTCTCCTAAAATGTTAATGCTTAACTTTAGAAGCTGTGTAGTATATTTCTCCTGTATCCAAAAGACATCCATAGAATTCTGAGTATCTCAAATTGGAAGAGCCCCATAAGGGTCATAGCTCCTCGGAAAAAAGAGACCAAAGCCACACAAAACAATGTTACCCTAAGAATTTGTCAAGCATGGCAAGAGCACAACAAAAACCTAAGGATGAAAACAAATCTAAGAACAACAAACAACTGGTGCAGGTTAAATGCACAAACTGGCTAGATGGGCTAGGTGACTGTGCAGGCATTGCAGCCAAGCATATAAACCACTGAAATAAAAGAAAGAAATATTCTTAGGATACTCATACCTGGCAAGTTTTTTCTTAATCTGAGCTGCAACCACTTTGGAGGACCTTAAGGAAAAGGAGAAAAGCACTAGTACATGCAGCACCCAAAAATTGATGACTTCCAGTAACACCTTAATAAACAAGAAACTCTTTCTATCTAACACTCTGCAATATTAGAACTTAAAAAATAAATAAAATTGAAATTCAACTAAACATTGTGTTTTCAGTTCTTCTGAGGTCCGAATTGTTCTGTCCCATTTAAATTATTGATCCAGATGTATCAGAATTTCAACAACACCAATAAGCATGAATATGAGAAGGAAAAATGCAAAATAATGAAAATAATACATTTCCCCTTTTTGGTTTGCATAAGAATTTACAGAAATTAGTATGTTAGAGCTCTGGCCAGTGTCATACTGGATCACATCAGAGCAAGCCCCTAGAAAATCATCAATGAGAGAAACAGGTTTTAGGAGAGAAAGAGCATTCCAAATTTTCTCCAGTATTCTAACAGAACATGTTTACATGGATCAGGATCTGATTGATTGTTTAAACAAGATGAGGAAACACCATTAGGTAAATAGAAAGGTTCTTATCTGAAAACAGCATTGAAAGAATTATCCACCATTCTTTTATCCACAGTTACTTCTGTGACTGCTCATGCTGCACAACTTTTTCTGAGAAAAGTGCTCTCTGTTTACGTGACTGTGTATGGTCCCTAGCTTACAATGCACAATGATTTATTTAACCTCTGGCAGCCTTTGCCACATCTTATGCCTGGGGACTGCTGTCCAAAGATAAGTTTGGGCAGAGGGCCAGTTTTTAAGGCATGTCTGTAAAGCTGAAACACCAAACAACACCACAGTAATATATACATCTAAAAGATGAAGCCAATCCAGAGCCATCATAAGAAACTGCAACAGTTTACAAAGACTCCATGTACTGCTTGCAGGCACTGCTTTAAACTAGTGCTGGCTCACAGCTGAGAGGCCATCAAAGTGGCTTTGAGCACAGCAATTCTCAAGTACAAGTTCCAAACTACTACAAACTTGAGCACCATGAGCTACTCCTTGGTGTTCCAGGAGTGGCCTACAAGCAGCAATGAGCAAAACTTGCCAACAAGCTGTATTTGTAGAAGCCTTGCAGAGCCAGACAAGCTGTCTGTTTGCCCCACTAGCCAGCACTCCCTGGCCAGAGCAGAACAAGCTGTTTGCAGCATAAAGATTAAGGTGTGGCTGGATTACAAACCAGATGAAAAAAGCAGTCTAATCCTGCTTCATTCTCACACACTATTGGTGCAGTTCAGGAAGCTGCATCTGGAGGCTGACTGAAACAAATGTTTTCTGCATTTCAATGCAACATGAACAAGAAATAAGACAGCCTTAAATGGGAGGAATCCAACAAAGCACTGAAGGGATTAATGTGATTGCTGTATCAGAACTGCTCTAGTGGATGCCATAGGATATCCATCCCCTCTCTCATGTCATTGACAAGTCACAGGTACCAGGTTTGTTTACAGGAAACCAATCAATATTGAAAAGTTGATTTAATAAATTTATGGGACGAATACTAATATCCACAATAGAAAAAGCAAATGAATGCAGGGCATCATCCACTGTTGTTCAATCTTTTCAGGAATTGCACTGGGAATAATAACCAGCACATCTCCACTGGAGCTCAGGTTAGCTATCAAAAGATTGCTTATCCTTCTCAGAGGAGCAACCACTGCCAGCATGAACCAGATTTGATTCACACATCAGCACTCCACCCACAGGCTGGAGACCCTCACTTATTTTCTTTATTTTAATCAATATGGTAACTATAGCACATTCCATACTATATATGTTTCTTCACTGAGGGAAAAATCTACTGTTAACAGTAATTATAAGGGCAGGTCACGAGGGCACCTTGCCCACTGAAATACAAAAGGTAAATTGGGATAAAGCTTCTTATTGAACAGTATTTCAGTATGGTGTAGTGTGGAGAATAACTTGATAGATGGCACTCTTAACGAGGCCTTCCTGATACATATTATTAACATTTAACAAAACCATAATAATTAGGTAACCAAAAATTTCTCTCCAATTACAATTGGAACATATCATTAACCTGTTTATAGGCAGAGAAGCAAGAGGTGACCACACTGTCACTCTGTGGAGCGCCTGAACTGACTTCAGACATGGGGGAACTGTGATGGTGCATTCCCTCCCACACCTCCTCAGGCCTGCTCTATGATTTCAGGAGTCACCTCCCTCAGCTGCAGTGCTAATGAAACTGCACCATTGTTACTGGACTTTTCTCCCCCAAAATTTCCATCACTTTAAAACTGGTTTTATGGCTAGGATGGAAATCTATTTTTGACTAAACCAAGCATTTCCTGAGCCGGTACCAAGAGAGGCCCTTTGAACTCTCGCACACCCCAGCAGGCTGTGACCAGCACCTCTCCAGGTGAGACACCACCTGGAGCTCATGAACCCTCAAGCCTTTGCCATACAGGAAAGCCCATCCCCTACAGCCCTCGAGGAGCAACTCTTGCCCACTGACAAATGTGAATGGATTTGATGCATTCCACTGAACTCAAGGGGAACTTTTCAGAGTAACAGGTATAGACGTACACACCTCTGTGCCTGTGTGTGAATTATGGCCTATGCAGTAACTAACAGAGTGAATCCTGCCTTCAAACTCTGCTAGGGCACGAGGTTAAACTCCTATCAAATACTAAATTATTAAAGCAGGTATGCTTACCAAAACAAAGGTAGAATTATTGAAAAAATCATATTATTTGAAAGTAGCTAAGTGCTTGCTTGGCATAAGTAGCTAGAATTGTTATAGCAAGCTGAGCTATATGGCTATATTGCATTAGTCAAAGATGGATCATAGTGAAACCTGGAACTAACAGCCTAAACATTACTAATAGTTAGAATAGACAAAACTGTAATTTAAATATTACTCAAAAATTAATAGCTGGATCAACCATATTATAACATGGACTACAGAACTGACTGAAATCACCACAGAAACAGACCTAAGAGGATGTGAAAATAACTACATGGCAAACACTTGGTAACAAAACAGCAAAGCAGTGAAGGTCAAGAAGGGCCCAGACTCTATTATGGCTATTGATCCACACCGTTGTGTGCAGTTTAGACTGTAATAATAATTGCCCAGGGATTTTTTTGTCTGGAGGTCTCTCTTTTGAGACACCTAGCTCAAGCTATGAGGTATCAACATTTATCTGTGCTGATAGATCTATCTGATGGAGACGAGAGCCTAGTGTCAAAGATGTCTTTAACATCTATACTGCAGTAAGTTTATTAGAAATGCTTATAATCACTGTTAATGACGTTTTTTGTTAGTATTCTAGATATTTGTACGAGAGCAGGACAATAAACCATTCAATACACAGTTTGGTACCTCAGGTGTTGCAATTTAACAGGCAGTAAAGTGATTCACTGTGACACACAGTCCAAGTGCTTTT